ATTCAAAATTTTCCAAACTTTTACAACAGGTGCCTTGAGATTTATGACCAAATGTTCAATACTCTAAAATCTACTATTTACATAGGTTTTATCTCTCATCATATGATTTTCACCATCTCTTATACTCTTAACTTCTCTATGATTAAAATTTCTTTTATTTTCTTATATATTTCGAATTTTAAAGATAAGACCAAAGTTATTTATGAAGTGATCATAATATTACTACTGATAACATTAATTGTTAGCCTCATAATACTTTTCCTTGGAGGCATAGAAAAGGTAGGATTAATTACTTTACGATTACCACACAAATTAGTATTTTCTTCATTTGGAGAATGTCGTTGGCATCTTTAAATAACAAATTGAATGTTCAATAAATTTTAGTTCTTCTAAGTAATTATACATTAAAGATGGAGAACAATTGAGTCGTTGTAGTATAGTGGTAAGTGTTCCCGCCTATCACGTGGGTGACCTGGGTTCGATACCCGACAACAGGGTATTTATTTCAATTTGGAAAATAATAAATTTTAACTTTTCTTTATGAATAATAAATAATTAGAAGATGATTTAAAAAATTGACATTTCTCTTCTTTTTTTGGTAGAAAGAAAATAACATTGTTTAGAAATTTAGAACAATTTACAAACCTTGTTAAAAGATATCGACGGTCTCAAACCTTTGACTTATACATTATAATTCCACGTCATTTTTATTCACTGAAAATTTCACAAAAAAACATATAATAGTAAAAGAAAAAATTAATACTTTAATGTATTTTTTGTTTCACTATTTTACCTCAAATAATATTTTTACCCTTAATTTAAATTTGAAACATTTGGTTCGAGAGTTTCATTTATCATTAATATATTAAAGCTAATTCATATTAAAATAAAAAATAGATATCGACGGTCTCAAACCTTTGACTTATACATTATAATACCACGTCATTTTTATTCACTGAAAATTTCACAAAAAACATATAATAGTAAAAGAAAAAATTAATACTTTAATATATTTTTTGTTTCACTATTTTACCTCAAATAATATTTTTACCCCTAGTTTAAATTTGAAACTTTTGGTTCCATAGTTTCATTTATCATTACTATATTAAATCTAATTCATATTAAAATAAAAAAGTAGGGACATTTTGGTCAACTGTGATGATTTTTGCGCCAATATTGGATGTGAACTTAAATTAACAAACCTTAACCTTTTTAAATTGTTTGTGAAAACCTTAGTAGGCTATTTGAGCCATGTGAAAGGAACACGGATCTCTCGTCTCCTCTCCTTTTCTGTCTAGTATAAGCGGTTCTTAATTGAGGGATATCTAAATTTCTGAAAAAGGGTAATAAAGATCAAACTAGTGATCTTATTGGCACCTTCGCTCTATATCTTATTCTATATGGTAATGATATGATGTTTTTCTTGAGAAAAAATAAATAGAACATTCAAAATTTTCCAAACTTTTACAACAAGTGCCTTGAGATTTATGACCAAATGTTCAATACTCTAAAATCTACTATTTACATAGGTTTTATCTCTCATCATATGATTTTCACCATCTCTTATACTCTTAACTTCTCTATGATTAAAATTTCTTTTATTTTCTTATATATTTAGAATTTTAAAGATAAGACCAAAGTTATTTATGAAGTGATCATAATATTACTACTGATAACATTAATTGTTAGCCTCATAATACTTTTACTTGGAGGCATAGAAAAGGTAGAATTAATTACTTTATGATTACCACACATATTAGTATTTTCTTCATTTGGAGAATGTCATTGGCATCTTTAAATAATAAATTGAATGTTCAATAAATTTTAGTTCTTCTAAGTAATTATACATTAAAGATGGAGAACAATTGAGTCGTTGTAGTATAGTGGTAAGTATTCCCGCCTGTCTCCCCGGTGACCCGGGTTTGATACCCGACAACGGGGTATTTTTACTTTCATTATTTATAACTTAGATATGGACAAGATTTATTTCAATTTGGAAAATAATAAATTTTAACTTTTCTTTATGAATAATAAATAATTAGAAGATGATTTAAAAAAATGACATTCTCTTCTTTTTTTGGTAGAAAGAAAATAACATTTTTTAGAAATTTAGAATAATTTACAAACCTTGTTAAAAGATATCGACGGTCTCAAGCCTTTGACTTATACATTATAATACCACATCATTTTTATTCACTAAAAATTTCACAAAAAACATATAATAGTAAAAGAAAAAATTAATATTTAATATATTTTTTGTTTCACTATTTTACCTCAAATAATATTTTTACCCCTAGTTTAAATTTGAAACTTTTGGTTCCATAGTTTCATTTATCATTACTATATTAAATCTAATTCATATTAAAATAAAAAAGTAGGGACATTTTGGTCAACTGTGATGATTTTTGCGCCAATATTGGATGTGAACGTAAATTAACAAACCTGAACATTTTTAAATTGTTTGTGAAAACCTTAGTAGGCTATTTGAGCCAAAGGAAGACGGATCTCTCGTCTCCTCTCCTTTTCTGTCTAGTATAAGAGGTTCTTAATTGAGGGATATCTAAATTTCTAAAAAGGGTAATAAAGATCAAACTAGTGATCTTATTGGCACCTTCGCTCTATATCTTATTCTATATGGTAATGATATGATGTTTTTCTTGAGAAAAAATAAATAAAACATTCAAAAATTTCCAAACTTTTACAACAAGTGCCTTGAGATTTATGACCAAATGTTCAATACTCTAAAATCTACTATTTACATAGGTTTTATCTCTCATCATATGATTTTCACCATCTCTTATACTCTTAACTTCTCTATGATTAAATTTCTTTTATTTTCTTATATATTTAGAATTTGAAAGATAAGACCAAAGTTATTTATAAAGTGATCATAATATTACTACTGATAACATTAATTGTTAGCCTCATAATACTTTTACTTGGAGGCATAGAAAAGGTAAGATTAATTACTTTACGATTACCACTACAAGAAAATTAGTGTTTAACGACACAAAAATTGCGACAGTTATGTGATAACTGTCGTAATTGACATATAGAGACAGTGTTTACGACAGTTGACACCAACCGTCCCTAATATTTATTTTGCGATGGTATAATTAACCATCATAATATTATTATTACGACGGTAAAACAACCGTCGGCCCCCATTTAACACTTTTAACATTGATTTTTCACCAACAACTAGTCACGACGGTAAAATTAACCGTCCTAAAAGGCATATCACGACGGTAAAGCACCCGTCGCACCCTTAAACCTTTCACGACGGTAAAATTATCTGTCCTAAAATTCATTTCACGACGGTAAAACAACCGTCGCACCCAAAACCTTTAAAAATTCTAATGGGCACGACGGTAAAACACCCATCGCCGTAAAAAAGTTAAAAAGCTCTTAAAATACATAAAAATTTTGAATAGTTAAAATTCTATCATTTTTTTCTTCTAAAATTTGGCCTTTTCCTATCAATATATTATACACAGCCTAGATGCAAAAATATGTACTATATGTTTATTGACAAGTTGCAATGTATAATGATTATTTTTGAATAGTTAAATAGCAATACTGAAACCTGACTGGGATTTGATGCATATGAATAATATATGTCAAAAAGTTATACTACTTAATTTATGCAATAATGAGAAAAAATAACAGTCATGTGCTTCTCTGTTAGATTTAGATTATAGAAATTTTATTCATACTTCACCATCCGGCACCGACCATCCATACTTCACCATCCATCCATACTTCACCATCCGGCACCACCACTGATTCAAGATTCGACAACCAATCACCCCAAAACCAACTCCCAGAAGCGGAAGAAAGAGGTCAATTCCAAGTTACAGCACCTACGAACACCAGAAGAGAAGCTAGCTTAAATCGAAACCCTAGAAAAGGAGCTCGGGGGTTTGTTTGAGTACTACAAAGGGGTTTTGGATAAGAAGGTTATTGTTGACCTTAAGAAATGCGGTGGGTCAAGAAACACGGTTCACAACATTGAGCCAATTACATTGGTAGGTAAATTTTTTAAAAAATAATTTTCAATTCCATTATTAATTTATTTTACCTTTTTATCCCTCTAGATAGATCTGGTGTTCATGAAATTCATCTATAATTGGCTTTGTTTTTTTTGTTTGAGAGGTTTTTAGGTTAGGCTTGCTGTGATTATTATGAACACACAAATTGTTTGGGAAATTAACCAAGTGATTGACAATTTCTTTGTTTGCTGTGAAATTGAATTCAAGGAGATGCTTTTACACAATTTAGTCATTATTGTTGTTGTTGTTCAGTTGTTGTTTTGATCCTTTTTCAGGATTTTAATTGAAATCTAATGTAAATTATGTAAATTGTTAGAAAAAAAAGCCATTTATAGAAACTCACATTCTTCTTTCTTATGAAAATGTGGTTCAAATAAGCTGAATACTTTGTGTGGTAAGGATGAAATATGTAATTACTGAAACAAACTCTTGCTTGTTTATTAACTTAGGATGAATTGTAGCATTAAAGCCTTAAAGGTCAATGGCATTTTAAAATGCAAGGTTGATAAGGGTGTTTTCCAGGTAATTTTATGCTTTTGTATTGTTTTAGTGCGGAGTCGAGGCTTGATTGTCAATGCTTTTTGTTGTGTTTTTGAATAGTTGATGCAAGTTCTTTATTTTGTAAAGGATATTGCTTCAAGACTTAAAGCTGCTGTCAATGAAGACTTAGAAAAGCTATTTCATAAAATACTCTTGTTAAGCTTAAACTAATGACCTAAATATAAGGGATTTCCAATCTCTTTCTAGTTGGTTGTTTCTTGGCAGTCAAGTAAAAACTGACATGAGTTCATGTTTTTTAGCTCGTTGCATGGAAAATTGATTTGGCTTATCGTTATTCGTATGTTTCATCTGTTTATCCATCTATCTAAACTAATCAATACTCTGTAGTGCTGATTATTTTAAGAAGACTATTGCCTTTATTTTGTGTCTTATTCTGCTAAGGAATTTATGGACATGTTTTCAGTGACATTGAAGAAATCACCTGTAGCATACTTCTTGGAGAAAGTTGGCAATGGAAATTCTTTATGGAACACAACAACTCTTGGGGATGAAAAAGGAAGAGAACGGGTTTATGACACTATCTTCCGCTTGCCATGGAGATGTGAATTGGTATTTGGTATACTTGTCTTTTCTTGTTTGCAGTTCTAGATGTTGTAGATGGGTATGCTCCAGTGTTTAGTTGCTAGAAGTTTCCTTCAAACTTATCAATTGATCAGAAAAAAAATATAATGTAGGCATTTTGGGGGAAGGATGTAACCCGAAGCTATTCATTTACTGTGAAATAGTTACTTAAGAATTGTGTTTGTGTATTTCTGTTTATGCATTCTACTTTTTATGTCATGGTATCTCAAGTGCTGAATTCATTTGCAGCTTATTGATGTTGGCTTCTTTGTCTGTTTCAATTCCTTTCTGTCATTGTTAACTGTGATGCCAACAAGGGTGGTAATGATCGTTTGGAAGCTTCTGAAAACAAGGTTTGCCACCTTTCTTCATGATCTGTCATAATACTTTGTCATTCAGTGCACCTGTTAGGATTTAGATGATATACTTATCCCTTTGCATCTTTTTGTTTAGTTTAGAGTTTTCACTTGAGCTGTGAGCATTTAGTTCAATTTTGTATTCAATTTCCAAAATTGTATTAAATTTACGAAGGAAATTGAACATGGTTCGTTTTTGTTGACTCGTAAAAAGGATTTAGATTGGTTTAATGAGACAATCTACCCTGATTTTGTGTTTACCAAAAAAGTTGAATCTATCACATACTTAATGATATGGTCTGCTAATTCATGTGCTTTGATTTGTTGGCTCTTCTACTAATTCTCATGTTTAAAAAATTTGGTGGTGATTCATGATTTCAGTTTAATTATTTAATTTAATACTATCAACATGACCTCGTCATGCTCATGGCAGGAAGTTCAAGAGGCTGTCTCCAGTTGAATTGTTGGATTTTGGCTATTTTATTATTATGGCTTGTGGAATCACTGTTTTGCAGCAAATAGGTTTAGTTCCATATACATATTTCTGTTTTGAATTATCAGGTTGTTTCTTATGCTGAAATTGGTGTTATGCTCATCACTCCTAATTTTTTGTTGTTTTAGATATCAGCTTCATATATCATATAATCCGTGGTCAAGCAACAATCAAACTGTATGTGATCTACAACGTCTTAGAGGTGAGCATAAATTAACCCTTATCCAAATTTTACTTAGTAATTTGCTCTCCTTTCATACCAAATATTTGGACTAACCCTATTATAGATATAGAGCAATAAGATTGTGACCAACATGATATATTCCGAAATATGAAAGAATGGAATTTTATGATTTCTCCCGATATATTTTGGAGGGGAAGATTCAAAGCTTTGGAGGGCCAAGTCTATGTTTTAATATATAGTTGATATTTTAAATAAGTTGAAAGAACAACATGATACATGAGGCTTATAATACCATGTTGTTCTTTTAATTTTTTTAAAGTATAGACTTAACCTTCTAAAGCCTTCCCCTCCAAAAATCAATTCACAAACACACCCTTAGTGGTATGAATTGAAACTTATATTGTTACTCGTTCTTGAACCTTTTTGCAGGTATTTGATAAATTATGTCAAATTTTTAATGGGGATGTGTTGCAAATGTTATTTTATTCGGCCGAAGAACTTGGAAGGTGTCCTTCTGAAACACGGAGTATGAGACTCTGCATTTGGAGATTTATTTCGGACCAAATTTTAGCTGTTGTTACAACAAATATCCTTTTTTCTCTAGGATGATATCATGATAGTTTTTTTTTACCTGTATTAGTTCTCTACGTTGGGTTAATTTCCTTAACTAGTCATACTTGTTCATTCTTTTATTTTATTAGCTCAGGCAATTACTTTATCAGCCTGCATTGTTGCTCACTACAATGCACTGCCAGCTCTGCTGGTGTCAAATAATTTTTCTGAGATCAAAAGCTACGTGTTTAAGGGATACAAAAAGGACAATATTCATAGTATGGTGTACTTTGGTGAGTTATCTTTCCAACAACATTTGGTTTTCATTCTGTTAGTAGCGTATTTGTGACTTTTTTTAAAATTAATTTTAAACATGAAAAAGGGCCTTAATACCCTGTTTCATTGGCTAATTGTTAGGATACAATTTAAGTGAATCCTCAGAAGCTAAAGTCTTCAAATTATCTCCCAAATCTGAAATCTCAACTATCGATAATGATAACCCAGTAAAATTGCTTAAATGTTATACAACTTGAATCTAAAAATAAATCACCTTCTTTTGTTCCATTGCTTTCGAGTTTCAACTGTACTCTTGTGCTACACATAACTTTGGTGCATCTCTTTTCTTGCTAACCACAGGGGAACAAACACGATCCGTGCCCAGCATTCAGCTTAACCCCTTAGAAAATGGTATGAGTTCTGTAGCCTTTGACTCTTCGCTCTCACTTTTGCAAGCATTCGCCATTTGCATTGCATTAGTTGATAGCAAGATGCCATGTGAGCTTTCTGGAACAAGAAAGTCGCAAACCGAGGAACTAAAGGCTTTTGGTAAATTAGAAGATATTCCTACAAGTTATGTTTCTAATCCACCAGTTTCTCCTGTTGGTAGGGTCTAAAATTAACATGTGGTAGAGAAATGTTTACACAAGCTAGAGCATATGAAAAACATTGACAGTTTATAAATAATACAAAACAGATCTAGTAATCTGGAATTCTGTTAAATTATATCATAGATGCTATTGAGGGTCTGGAGCACAGTACCGGCCGTTGTTTATACACTGAGACTTGCATTGATTGCTTAAGAGAAAATCATTAGGGCAGTACCAAGTTATAAAGTGAGGAGTAAATTGAGTGAACCCCTTCTTCTCAAGAAACTGAGCTGCACCCCTTCATGCATCTGAAACATGAAGTGTCTTCTGCACTAGAATGAAAATAATAATGTTTTTGTTGGATTTAAAGGGATATGAGCTGTTGAAAAATATAAGATTTCTATTTGATAAATCTATGATTTCTACCAACTATTGATATGCTGCTTTGGTTTTTGTTGCAGGTAACTTTTCTCTTCCACTTGCTTCGCTGCTCTTCAAACCCTCGTGCGTCTTTGAGGTATGATTTCATTCTTAAATTTGAGTGTGCCTTTACTATATCACTGTTTAATAGTGTTAGACTAAAGAATTTTATCTTATAAGAATTTTATCTTAAATTTGAGTGTGCCTTTACAAATACATTATTCTTATAAGCAATTGAAATAACCAAAATTGCAATGTTTGCAATCGCATTCATACGGGACCGCAAAAGCACTTTAAAATCCTAACACAGGCAATCATATTCTTAACGCAAAGGGACAAGGCGAGGACAAAGGAAATTGAACTCTTAATGCAAATGCAGAATTTTAGTGGAAGACAGGTATATTATTTTGACGCATTTAAAGTTAAATTTTATGAGTATTATTTTAAAGATTATTATTTTAATACCTTTTTTTAGGGATTGGAATCACCCGCTGATGGTAGACGTTCATCTGAGTCTAGCTACCGTATTGGAGATAATGGAACTTTAGGGGGGACAAATTAGACTTTGCTATGATCGAGATAATTAGATTGTGAACTTTCTCATGTATTTTTGGCATAATGATACTTATTATTATAAGATTAGGAATTGATATATTTTGGGTTTTTTGTACTACTTGACATGATTATGGAACTCGCATTTTACATGATTATGGAACACACATTTTTTTGGATATTATAATGCTTATTTGATGTTAAATATTTTTTATTGAAAATATTTTTACAATATTACAAAGTGATAGAAAATAAAACAAAAAATAATACTATAAATAAATATATTAAAGAAATAATTTAAAGAAAAAAATAACACAAAAAAAAACTATATTTAAAATTTTTTACATAGATAATAATTTAAATAAAAAATATATATAATAGAAAAATAAAAAAAAATCAAGACATAAACAAAAGTCATGGCGACAGTACCGAACCGTCGTAATCAACAATTAAAAATAATCAACAAAAGTCATGACGGTATCGAACCGTCGCCATAAACAATTTAATCAATTTCACAAGATATTCACGACAGTATCGAACCGTCGTCATCAATAATTAAAAGAAACTCAAAAGATAGTCACGACGGTATCAACCCATCGTAAACTAGAACGACAGTTTTCGTAACCGTCGCGAAATAGGTTGGGGACACACACTTCTGCGACGGTAAAGCAACCGTCGTGGAAAGCAAATTGCGACAGTTTTAACCGTCGTAATCTACAAAAATACCTGTCGCAATCTGCCAATTTTCTTGTAGTGTACCACACAAATTAGTATTTTCTTCATTTGGAGAATGTCATTGGCATCTTTAAATAATAAATTGAATGTTCAATAAATTTTAGTTCTTCTAAATAATTATACATTAAAGATGGAGAACAATTGAGTCGTTGTAGTATAGTGGTAAGTATTCCAACCTGTCTCCCTGGTGACCCGGGTTTGATACCCGACAACGGGGTATTTTTACTTTCATTATTTATAACTTAGATATGGACAAGATTTATTTCAATTTGGAAAATAATAAATTTTAACTTTTCTTTATGAATAATAAATAATTAGAAGATGATTTAAAAAATTGACATTCTCTTCTTTTTTTGGTAGAAAGAAAATAAACTTGTTTAGAAATTTAGAATAATTTACAAACCTTGTTAAAAGATATCGACAGTCTCAAACCTTTGACTTATACATTATAAAACCACGTCATTTTTATTCACTGAAAATTTCACAAAAAACATATAATAGTAAAAGAAAAAATTAATACTTTAATGTATTTTTTGTTTCACTATTTTACCTCAAATAATATTTTTACCCCTAGTTTAAATTTGAAACTTTTGGTTCCATAGTTTCATTTATCATTACTATATTAAATCTAATTCATGTTAAAATAAAAAAGTAGGGACATTTTTGTCAACTGTGATGATTTTTGCGCCAATATTGGATGTGAACGTAACTTAACAAACCTGAACATTTTTAAATTGTTTGTGAAAACCTTAGTAGGCTATTTGAGCCATGTGAAAGGAACACGGATCTCTCGTCTCCTCTCCTTTTCTGTCTAGTATAAGAGGTTCTTAATTGAGGGATATCTAAATTTATGAAAAAGGGTAATAAAGATCAAACTAGTGATCTTATTGGCACCTTCGCTCTATATCTTATTCTATATGGTAATGATATGATGTTTTTCTTGAGAAAAAATAAATAGAACATTCAAAATTTTCCAAACTTTTACAACAAGTGCCTTGAGATTTATGACCAAATGTTCAATACTCTAAAATCTACTATTTACATAGGTTTTATCTCTCATCATATGATTTTCACCATCTCTTATACTCTTAACTTCTCTATGATTAAAATTTCTTTTATTTTCTTATATATTTAGAATTTTAAAGATAAGACCAAAGTTATTTATGAAGTGATCATAATATTACTACTGATAACATTAATTGTTAGCCTCATAATACTTTTACTTGGAGGCATAGAAAAGGTAGAATTAATTACTTTATGATTACCACACATATTAGTATTTTCTTCATTTGGAGAATGTCATTGGCATCTTTAAATAATAAATTGAATGTTCAATAAATTTTAGTTCTTCTAAGTAATTATACATTAAAGATGGAGAACAATTGAGTCGTTGTAGTATAGTGGTAAGTATTCCCGCCTGTCTCCCCGGTGACCCGGGTTTGATACCCGACAACAGGGTATTTTTACTTTCATTATTTATAACTTAGATATGGACAAGATTTATTTCAATTTGGAAAATAATAAATTTTAACTTTTCTTTATGAATAATAAATAATTAGAAGATGATTTAAAAAATTGACATTCTCTTCTTTTTTTGGTAGAAAGAAAATAACATTGTTTAGAAATTTAGAATAATTTACAAACCTTGTTAAAAGATATCGACGGTCTCAAACCTTTGACTTATACATTATAATACCACGTCATTTTTATTCACTGAAAATTTCACAAAAAACATATAATAGTAAAAGAAAAAATTAATATTTTAATGTATTTTTTGTTTCACTATTTTACCTCAAATAATATTTTTACCCCTAGTTTAAATTTGAAACTTTTGGTTCCATAGTTTCATTTATCATTACTATATTAAATCTAATTCATATTAAAATAAAAAAGTAGGGACATTTTGGTCAACTGTGATGATTTTTGCGCCAATATTGGATGTGAACGTAAATTAACAAACCTGAACATTTTTAAATTGTTTGTGAAAACCTTAGTAGGCTATTTGAGCCATGTGAAAGGAACACGGATCTCTCGTCTCCTCTCCTTTTCTGTCTAGTATAAGAGGTTCTTAATTGAGGGATATCTAAATTTCTGAAAAGGGTAATAAAGATCAAACTAGTGATCTTATTGGCACCTTCGCTCTATATCTTATTCTATATGGTAATGATATGATGTTTTTATTGAGAAAAAATAAATAGAACATTCAAAATTTTCCAAACTTTTACAACAAGTGCCTTGAGATTTATGACCAAATGTTCAATACTCTAAAATCTACAATTTTTACATAGGTTTTATCTCTCATCATATGATTTTCACCATCTCATATACTCTTAACTTCTCTATGATTAAAATTTCTTTTATTTTCTTATATATTTAGAATTTTAAAGATAAGACCAAAGTTATTTATGAAGTGATCATAATATTACTACTGATAACATTAATTGTTAGCCTCATAATACTTTTACTTGGAGGCATAGAAAAGGTAGGATTAATTACTTTACGATTACCACACAAATTAGTATTTTCTTCATTTGGAGAATGTCATTGACATCTTTAAATAATAAATTGAATGTTCAATAAATTTTAGTTCTTCTAAGTAATTATACATTAAAGATGGAGAACAATTGAGTCGTTGTAGTATAGTGGTAAGTATTCCCGCCTGTCTCCCTGGTGACCCGGGTTTGATACCCGACAATGGGGTATTTTTACTTTCATTATTTATAACTTAGATATGGACAAGATTTATTTCAATTTGGAAAATAATAAATTTTAACTTTTCTTTATGAATAATAAATAATTAGAAGATGATTTAAAAAATTGACATTCTCTTCTTTTTTTGGTAGAAAGAAAATAACATTGTTTGAAATTTAGAATAATTTACAAACCTTGTTAAAAGATATCGACGATCTCAAACCTTTGACTTATACATTATAATACCATGTCATTTTTATTCACTGAAAATTTCACAAAAAACATATAATAGTAAAAGAAAAAATTAATACTTTAATGTATTTTTTGTTTCACTATTTTACCTCAAATAATATTTTTACCCCTAGTTTAAATTTGAAACTTTTGGTTCCATAGTTTCATTTATCATTACTATATTAAATCTAATTCATATTAAAATAAAAAATAGATATCGACGGTCTCAAACCTTTGACTTATACATTATAATACCACGTCATTTTTATTCACTGAAAATTTCACAAAAAACATATAATAGTAAAAGTAAAAATTAATACTTTAATGTATTTTTTGTTTTACTATTTTACCTCAAATAATATTTTTACCCCTAGTTTAAATTTGAAACTTTTGGTTCCATAGTTTTATTTATCATTACTATATTAAATCTTATTCAAATTAAAATAAAAACGTAGGGACATTTTGGTCAACTGTGATGATTTTTGCGCCAATATTGGATGTGAACATAAATTAACAAACCTGAACATTTTTAAATTGTTTGTGAAAACCTTAGTAGGCTATTTGAGCCATGTGAAAGGAACACGGATCTCTCGTCTCCTCTCCTTTTCTGTCTAGTATAAGAGGTTCTTAATTGAGGGATATCTAAATTTGTGAAAAAGGGTAATAAAGATCAAACTAGTGATCTTATTGGCACCTTCGCTCTATATCTTATTCTATATGGTAATGATATGATGTTTTTCTTGAGAAAAAATAAATAGAACATTCAAAATTTTCCAAACTTTTACAACAGGTGCCTTGAGATTTATGACCAAATGTTCAATACTCTAAAATCTACTATTTACATAGGTTTTATTTCTCATCATATGATTTTCACCATCTCTTATACTCTTAACTTCTCTATGATTAAAATTTCTTTTATTTTCTTATATATTTCGAATTTTAAAGATAAGACCAAAGTTATTTATGAAGTGATCATAATATTACTACTGATAACATTAATTGTTAGCCTCATAATACTTTTACTTGGAGGCATAGAAAAGGTAGGATTAATTACTTTACGATTACCACACAAATTAGTATTTTCTTCATTTGGAGAATGTCGTTGGCATCTTTAAATAATAAATTGAATGTTCAATAAATTTTAGTTCTTCTAAGTAATTATACATTAAAGATAGAGAACAATTGAGTCGTTGTAGTATAGTGGTAAGTATTCCCGCCTATCACGTGGGTGACCCGGGTTTGATACTCGACAACGGGGTATTTTTACTTTCATTATTTATAACTTAGATATGGACAAGATTTATTTCAATTTGGAAAATAATAAATTTTAACTTTACTTTATGAATAATAAAT